CCCCCAATGTGGATAAGTTACCCAATCTCCGTAGATTATTCTGGTTAGGACGTACTTTGCATGCTAATGAGTTGTCTCTCTCCCAGAGCTGATTTCCTCCAGCTCTGTGCTGAGTGGAAGCGACCGCCAGTTACACAGTGTATGGCTTGGCAAATAAGTGTGAAAACGCTAATCATTAAAATGAGTCGCGTTGGCAACTTCCACCTCTCTGATTAGGTGTGTCGGGAGTGACCCACCAATGGTTAGTGACACTAGCATACATGACTCAATCACGCAATCAGTGACGTTCCTACATCAAAGCTATCGGCTTCATTACCCATTTTCCAAACGATGTGATCATGCCATGGTCATGAATAGTCGGCTGTATGTCCCCTGCTCGTTATCCGGTAGCTGAAGCTGTAGAAGATGGAGCACCTGTGGCTTCAAGGCGACATCTCTGAATCTTTGTTTTGTTATATACTTTAGACGAGACCTCTGCGAGCAGCAGAGCTGAGATATCTTCGGCTCTTGCATGACCGTTTTCTCAGAATCATAGATCGAGTTGGCTGGCGCCAACGAATCCGCAACACGACAACTGAAAAACGGACTTTCGGTTGCGCAGCAGAGACTACGACTGAAATATGTATCTGGCTGGAGAAGCTGTGCTGGTTTGATCATGTATTTTGTGTGTCGAATAATCGTTTGTCAGACATAGTGCGGCTTTCCGTGCTCAGTTCCAATTGTCGCAAGCACGTTGGTGGTCAAACGTTGACGTAGAGCTATGTAAAGGGGATTACTGACAATTTGGTTACTGTCTGTGTGTGTTTCCTTTCTGTATGGGGTCCTGTAGATCCCATTGTGCATACTGCTGCACGACATGGCAGCCAATTGCTGCTAATAGCGTTACTTTCAGTTTCGATCTACATTTTCTCAATGAGTGTCTGGAATTGTAGGCATCTGAGATTGCTTGTATTAGGCTAGCATTAAGTCTCTTCCCGATCTTTTATTTTTTTATCATTGGTAGCGTAACCACACTTTCCAACACTGGTGCTTCGATTCCATACAACCAGTGTGTGTAATGAAGATAGGAATAAAAGTGGGCGGTAAATGGACCTAGTACTAGCCTCCCACAACCATTCCGAAGTGTTTACACCTTCAGACACTAATTCAGGCAATCTGGATTAAAAATGACAACTAGGATGCCACTGGCATCGACAGTAGCTGTATCTTTCAGCATCTTCAGTCAGGTACAGTGCGGCTCACGTGGTCCCCATTCTGAAAGACCAGTCGTACGGACAACGTCCAAAGATTTCGTAACCTGTCAGACCAAAGGTTACGAAGCTGTCAGCTTGCACCACCCTGAATTGGACACTCGTTTTATATGCACCTCGTTGCGGATTCGCCACACCAGCCTGCACGAGCTGTGGTTCTGAGATAACGAGGGTCAAAGATCTTTCATTTCCACTGCACGAAAAGGCCATACCACAAAGCCGTTACTGCAGACTGATACACATGCCACATAAAATACAGAGGTATTCCGCATTTCCACCATAGGTGTTTAAAATTAGCAAACGCGACCAGAGCCTTAGCGATTCTTGCATTGATTCGATCTGTCATACTACAATCGGAACTAATGCAGCTTCCACAACTTCGAGTAGCTCCCTTTGGATTGTAAGTGGCGCGTTCAGTGAATGCATGTCCACGACCATGGCCTTACACTTTTTGGGTGCAAAGCGCATGCAATAGAACGGGATGATTCTGACCAGTTCATCCTAAACATCTATACTCTGTTCTCTCCGGAGATAAAAACGATGTTGTCTGCATATTCCAGATCCACCCGACTTTCGTCAGCAGCTATTTGAACACCAGCGTCTTAAATGTCTCCCGGCATTTGTCTCATCATTTGATCCGCCTTGAAATTAATTGGGAATAGAGAGGGTGCACATTCGTTGACTGACACCACTTTGTGCACAGAAGCTTTTGGAGAGCTCTCCTCATTCATGCCTGTATGTGTGAGAATACAAGGAACTTGTCACGTTAACGAACTCCCGAGGCAGGCGTTTTGAGACCGGTCAACCGAGTTGAGTGCACCTTGGAGACGCAGTACTACTTAGATCCTATAACCTGACGAATTGTGAGGATTCGGTCAGCGCAACCCATACCAGTTCGGAATCTTGGTTGCTGTTCTCGAATTAGTGTCTCGCCAGCCATCTTGAGACAATGAAGTACAAGTGATACCCAGAGTCTTCATATGGCTAAGTTAAACTTGACGCACATGTGAGTACTACACTCAGAACGACCACAATTCTTGAAAATGAGCGCTTTCACATTCTCCTCTGTGGTTTGGAGCAGTTTTCTCTTCACGGATGCACTCAAATAGATCAGACAGGTGTTGTCCGAGGGCTTCATTCCCATCCTTAAACAATCTGGGTGGGATGTCATCTGGACCAGCAGCTCGGCGGCGCTTGAGAGAAGAAATGCAGCTTTAAACCTACGAAGCCGTAGGGGTTTCCATGTTTGTCGTCCAGGGTTTCACTTTAGTTGCAGGATCCAAATGAGTGGCAGTAGCTGACCGTGAGAATTGTTGTTCAAAGTGCCTGGCCCAGCGGTCAAAGTAGCCTTTTTTATTGAGGCTAGTCGCACGACTTTGATCCTTGAGGGTCTCGCTTACAGGTGGTTATTGGGGACCGGTCGCACGGATTAATGGCAATAATATTCGGACATTCCTGGAGTTCTGCTTCTCTTCCATTTCCTTAACCGTCCGTGTTCGCCAGGCTTCCTCAGGCTGAATTATGTTCGGGATCGACGAGACATTCCTCTGAGATTTAAGAAGCGCCACTATTCTGTCTCATATACAGTGCTAGAATGGACCTAGTAGCGTTCTGCCACACAAAACTCCCAGCACTGCACAAGTTTACATCCGGCGGTGCAGCAATTGGAGGAGTCCAGAAGATGATTTGGATAGATTCTAGCTTCGGAGTCTGCCAGTCTCTCAGTTGCCAAACTTCTTTTCTTAAGCCTAGGCGGCTTCAGAAAAAGAAGAGAAGCGACCACGGACTAGCCCATGGCGGGGATCCACAAATGTTCCAAAACGGGTTGCAGTCAGCTATTGATCTGCGCCATCGCCAACTGATTGCGACGTGATCGATTTGTGTTTGTGTCTGACACAGCGTTAGTCAACACTATGTGATCACACGACTTGGGTTATTTCGGAAGTTACTGCTCCAGAAGGGCAACCTGCGGTCAGCACATAGTTGAAGCATTCGTTCGCCATTGTCCATACATACCGAGTGTAATCCATGTCGACCAATTAATTGGGTCGCAGAAGCTCTAAGCCTGCGGGCTTGCGGTTTCAGATCCCTGGCAACCACCTCGATGTCCGAGCTTCTAGCTCGTCACACTACGGTATTCTAGAGGTCGTGGCATTTGCCGTTGATGGCATCAGTGGTACAGTCGGTTGGAGCGTAAGCAGGTAGGACAGGGATCAACTTCTAGCTTATGAGACTCCTTCACAGACGTTGCCACGCGAACCACACAGAGACGACTAATAACTAATTTCCAGGCAAGCAAGCATCTTTCCGCTCGGTTACTTGTGATGATACTAACCCGGCAAGTACAATGTGAGGGCGAGATCAGCTTACTGTCCTGCTTGCTTCACAGTGCGAAAATGCCTGAGGTTGTCAGTGCTGGCTGACGAGCAGGTGTTTAGACCAGGACCGATTCAAGACGAACGTTAGTTGTTAGTCTTATCGAATGGGCCTACAATGAGCGATTTGTCAATGAAGTGGGGGAGGGAAAAAATAAGCGTGTGAAAGAGAAAAAAAGGTGTCCGCTGTAGCCTGTTTTCGATTACCAGCCCCGATAAATGCAGCTGGTAAGACGATCCGTCTGATGACATCACGCGACGGCCAATGTGGCGTGACAGTATTATTAGTCGTGGAAATCATGGTTGTACGTGAGCTGAGGTACTGCCAGGGTGTCCAGACATAGGGAGGAAAACGATCAGGGTCCTCGATCAAGGCTTTGCCTCAAACGTCTGGCCGCAAAGCAGTAGAGTCTCAAAGAGGTTGATGTAAGTGAATCCTCCTTTTAAAATAACTAGCCACCACATATGTTCCAGTTTCAAACGTGAAGGGCAGGAGACGGTTTCGGTCAAACTTACAGCTGTTGACCGACCTGTTGTCAGAGACTCTTCGCGTGTCACCCGGACACCCTGTACTATTGCTTAATGGGTCAGGGAGGCCATCAAACCACCGCACGATGTTGAAATTGAGTCTCCTCGTGACGGTTTTATTTTCTCTGCGGTTTAGTCCCCAGATAAATCTTGGTTTTATCGGGAAACAGAATTTCTGTCGATTGTGATGATAAGGTTGTCTGGAAGTGTGTAGACTAGTTCCAGACCCATTTTTCATCTTTCCTTCACAATAATCATGGTTTCGCAGCAGCAAAACAGTACTGATGTTTTGCTGTCGTTAATGATTTTGATAATGATGGTCATTGTAATCAGCCAATCACCTTGATATCTTGATCACCTGCTTGACACTTCACTGTGAACACCGTACAGCCACCTAACATCTATACTGCGGAGCCACAGTGTGGTAATCAGAATGACACTGACAACTAACTGCCTTAAGTGGTCTGTGAACAAATCCTCTGAAAATTTGCGCACTTTTTTTGAGTCACTTGAAAGCTTGACGGGTAACTGAAGGACGAATTTACGTTCAACAGTGGAAATAAAATAAGAGGAGCTGCCACTATTTAATGGGGTCTTCTCTTCAAAATTTTATTTGCAACATTTGGCACGAGAAAAACACCCCATGGAGGTAATCGATTCTAATACCACAGTACCATTGGGTGTTTTTTCTTATGAATATATTTGTTCTTATCCTCTTTGCAAAACGAATGTAAATGATATTCCACTAGGGCCTAGAACCACATTTCGATATTCATTCTCGTCGTCTTCGATTCTTGAAGGTCGATCTGTGCACCGCATCTTCAGACTATCCTGAACTAGAAAGACGATGAAAGTTGCATTCGTAAGTCATTCTCGCTTTCTTATCGCCGTATGTAAATTCAAGGTCACGGGCTCGAACAAGGGAATCGGATTTGGCATAGTGGAAAAGTTGGCCAGATTTTACAATCCTACTGGTGAATGGGATGTTTTTCTGACTGGTACGTATATCGTTTATCGATTCATTCATGGTCAGCGAGAAATGATGAGTTGGGTAAAAAGTCGTGTGAGGAACTGAAGTCTAAAGGCCTTGATGTCAAATTCCATCAGTTGGATATCACCGATACAGAAAGCCGGAAGCGGTTTCTGGAATACATGAAAACCACTTACCCAAATGGCATCAACGTAGCTGTCAACAATGCAGCTATTGCCTACCATGTAAGCACATGTTATTTGGGACTAATTCTTAGCACGATTCCACTGTACCGTTTGGTGAACAAGCACGCGTTACTGTTCATACCAACTTCACATGCACGTTGGATTTCACCCTTGAATTCCTCCCTTTGTTGGCGAGAGATGCGAGGTACTGTGTATTTACCGTACTTACTTTTCACCAGAGTTGTTCATGTGTCTAGCGGAGTCTCCCTCATGATGTTTCCGAAAATGAGCAATGAATTGTACACCAGGATCACTTCGCTACTGACTTTGGAGGAACTTCGAACTATCATGAAAGAATTTGTAAAGTAAGGGTTTTGGCGCTAATTCGATAGAATACATAACGTTCCGTTTAGCGTGAACTGATTTTTGCGGTTGTGGTGACCCTGTCACTTCAAATTATCCCCTGCATGTATTCGAATTTCATTTCAGTTTATCGATAGGTTTTCAGGTGGGAGTAAAAACGATCCAGCACTGCCTTTTAACAGCGGGGAATCAGTAGTGTGTTGGCAACCATAAGATATCTATGATTGTTTCCCTACTTTACTAGCCCACATGTTGCAATGTCAAATGCACGTATCGTTTACACATCAACTGAGTGTGTATTGATTTTTGCGGCTATCAGACGAAATTCCTGCTTGTGGAGTGTGGACCACGGAGAGAATGCGGACACGGTGCAGCACTGCTACTGTTCGACCCGCTCGAACCTGGTCCTTCGAGGTTTGAACTCTTCGTGCTGTCAATCACTGGCCACTGTTACTTTTTGTGGATGATACAAACGTATCAAGACGACAGAGTATCTGTTGGAGGTGTCGGGGAATGTTTTACTGCTAGTTTGCTGTATTTCTGGTTAGGTGGTGCATGCTATAATGGTCTGGACGCGTTCCGCTCAAATCAGCCTTCAAACTTTCCAAACTCCTCGCCATGCTCAACGTGCGCTGTCGCACAATGGGAAATGGAAAACCTGGCTGTTAACAATTAAGTCTGGCATTGAACTGTCGGATGTCCGCGTGATCTACACCACCAATCAACGAAGCAGTAGCTTGATGACACCGCTCGTGACTCACCCGTGATCGTGCTTTGTGGGTTAGTGATTCGGAATCTTATTGGAGCAGACCCATTTATAATGCCTTCTTCCCGAGTCTGGTGACTGGGTGGCGCATTCTGGACGCTGGTCCGCTATTTTTCCTCAGCTTGATTAGGTTAATTGTGTGGGGACCAGGCATCCTGGACTGTCCATTCTTATCTTCATATGATAAAGCTTTCAGGCATATGGCGAAGAAGAAATGATATAAGGTGAAGGGATTTTGAAGTGAATGTTGTTTAGAGGTTATTTGGACAATTTCAGACAGCTCCAAATTTAGAAGCACTCAAGCAAAGATCGTGCCATTGGCGACAAAGAAATCGAATGATGCAGTCACAGTTGTGACATTTAAAGGATGTGAATGTCCTCACCCATTTCATTTTGATAAATCATTGTCGAAATCCAGGCGGTAAAAGAATGACGCGACTAACTTTAGATGCCTCTCTGAGGATCTGGTGGCAAAAGCGCTTCAGAATTATCCATATTTGAGGAAACTGAATAGACTTGAAGAAATCCCCCCTTGCGAGAACACGACCTTCCCCGTCTAACAGGCGTTCTTTTGAATAATGCCAGTCAGTCGCTTCGTTCAATTTTTATTTTTTTGTGTGTATTAAAAGTGCACTTTTCGATATACACACCCTATCATTGTGTCTGCCTGTCTAATGCTGGCCATTCCTGGGTTTTCGTTCCCACTTTAGTTATGCTGAGGCAGGTGAGCATAGTAAGCATGGTTGGCCCACGTCAGCATACGGTGTCTCCAAGGTGGGGCTCACAAAAGCATCCTTTATATTGGGTGAGATGCTCAAGTCGGACCCGCGAAATATTGTGATGAACTCCGTAAGTTTCTATCGTCTATGGTATTCTAAGTTTTCGCTTGACTCTACTGATCTCCATCTCCCCACCGGTAATTTCAAGTTTCTGGGATGAGTATCGTTTCGTCGCATACGTGACGTGAAACTGGTAGAAGATACGAGTGTTGAAGCACTGCTAGGTTGTCCTGACCCAGGCGGGGACATTGGGGAAATTAGAGGTTGGCTATAACGCGGACCTGTCTGGCCAGGAACGTGCATATTAACTCTTTTCGACCATGTTTATCATTCCGACGTGCTACAATGTTCAAACCTACAATTTTTCGTCCTTTTTCTGAACAACTGATGCTCTCTGCAGAATAGCTGACACTGAGTGGAGTAAACTTTGGTTCCATAGAACAACACGGCCAATCACTGCCTAGCTCACTCAATCACTTTTACGGTTTGTCTCCCACTTTTGTAAAGTCCATGGCATTCTGCACTTATGGGGCACATCACCTCATTTCTGTTCACATCGTTTCCACCTAGCGTATTTTAGTGCGCTTCGGGTGTGTAGGCACAAGCATTTTGAATTGTACGGTTTGCTTGCATAACTCACCACACTAACACAATAATCGTTGCAGAATCTCCCTCGTCCTTCAAGTCTTCATCAATGGGAAATTGACGCTGGGATAATTTTCTGAAGTATACTGTTATCTTCGAAGTGAGCAGTAAAGGCTTTCTCTCACTACTCTTCAGAGTAAGGCGATGATCAGCATTACGACCGCCCTTTTAATTTTAAAGGGTTGATTTTGATCTATTATTACTGGATGCCTTTTAAAGCTGATTTTATAGCGGCCACAGCTTTATAGCCCTTTACTGATCGTTCCGAAAGAGCTTAACCTGTTTCTGGACTTGTGTAGATTCAGATTGTATCACCCAACTCACCGCAACCGATATGTATAATCTGATTTATGCACTTACTTTCAAGAAATAAAGTTAGATTTTCTGTGACTTGGATACATCCCGACGATGGCATAATCTTCCGCTGGCTTTCTTAAGCAATCTTATAGTGGTTGAGCGGTGTGCCATGAAATATCCTTGACTGATGTAAACCGTCCACAATTCACTGATTAATTTGTAATTTCTTTGAGAAATAAGGTAGCAGAGCTGAGCTGACAACCATGTAATTGAATTGTCACCAATATCCTGAAGTGTTTTTAGCGTTGGCTAGAACAAAACTGATAGGATGAACTACTATTGAGCTCAGACTGCAAGGTGTGTCCCATAATTCGCCGCAATGTACACAAGCAGTATGGACACAGTAAGTCCTGCTGTACAGTTCATTGATGGGTGCCAGAAAAACACACCAACGCTGACTAGCAGATCTGAACTTCGCTTTCGAATGTGCTGACTCGCCGTACCTAATCAGAAATCATTTACCGCGCCAAGTAACTTCCACTTCCCCCCACTGATCTCTGTAGGACCAAAGCCGCCAGAAATATTCAGGCATTTTGGAAACTTGTATCTTGTCTGTCAATCCCATGAACCGAATAACTGTGGTCCCTATTCAGGGAAAGTCCTTACTCGAAGACGAGGACCACTGTATTAGTTTTGTAACTTTTTGTGAACCACATTCAAAGTGCCACTGTGGGAATAAAAGCGGCCAATTAAATAAGCTCTTTCCGCCATGATGGACACCTCATGAATTGAACTTTCCTTCCTTTTTGTTGCGTCTGGATGTTCTTTCTTCTGTTGTTAAGTATAAACTGTCCTATCCTGGATTTTTGTACTCTGAATTCAGAAATATGGGCTGATAACCAAGAAAGCTGATGGTCTGAGTCCGGTCGTCCTATAGCGACTGTTCCTACTTGCTTTGTTGTAGGAGTATTCCATTCTTACGGTACTGCGGCAACCGCACACCAAAATGGCTGATTGTATGCTTATTGTTTCCACAAGATGCTTTAACACAGCGTATTCTCTCCAAACAGTGTTGTCCAGGCTACGTGGATACTGACATGACCAGTCACAAGGGTACGAAAACAATCGAAGAGGGTGAGTTACGAGATTCGAGTGTTTCCTCAGCATCCACTTCACCTTGGTTCTGGAAAATCCGTTTACTTTTAGCGAAATACACTCATTGGCAAACAAATTTGGTTTTGCGAGAGACTCACCTGGAACCCAGCAGGATCTCTCACCTGTGATGTTTTCAGGCAACTGAATGTGCTGTGCCAGACCGCCTCATGTTTCAGTTGCTACGATATTCGAGATACCGCGATGCGTGTATATTCGTAATGCACTACCCATAAGGTTGCTGAAAACTCTAGACAACCCACGACCGGTTTCGCCGTTCTTGGAGCTCATCAGGTAGGCGCAGTCCCCGAGTTTCCGTCAAACTTATGTTCCACTTGAAACCAAATCGCACGAAATTACTTTTGCCTATAGTCACCTTTTGATCTATGCGTGTCGTTCTTATCTAACAACTTGGTGGCTCACAAGTCCATCACTGATTTTGATGCAAACGAATTGTGAAGCTTTGGGGTTCCCTGTGACGTAGTTTATTGGAAAACAGGAATAGTGATTCGCACAACGATCCGAGTTTTTCTTCAACGAATTCCGTTAGTGGTTACCGCAGTCAGTGTAATAGACCACAGTAAAAATGATAATGACAATGAAGATATGTCTTAACATGAAATTGGCTGACATTCATCAAACAGGCTATCAGGAGCAATGTGTCAACGGAACGAAAAAGCTTCTTCTATCTGTACATGTTTTCACATTTCCACTTTGAAGTTGCGACTGTCTCTGTCTCTACAAATTGACCTGTGTTAGATCTCAAATGCAGTATCTGTGTCAGTACATCGTCTAGCGATAGACGAGGCTGGTTGTGGTTCTTCAGCTGATCCGGCACGGCTCGGCACTGGATTGGTTCACAATCTCCCCATCAACTCGTATGTTCGATTACCCTAGGTTCATTTTGCACCCACAATTTGGTGGCATTTGAGGATTTGGCTAGTAGGGCTGGAGAGCGGCTCCAAGTCTAGGAGAAAATGGTTCTCAGATGATGTCGTTCTCCGGAATTCCAGGGGTGAAAACACCAAGTTTTGGAATCAAGAGTACATGACCTAGTTTAGGGTCTTCCGTCCTATTTCTGCTCAACTGTTGCCAGATAATTCTGACAGTTTGTTTCTTCCAATTAATGAAGCTTACATCTTACGGACATATTGGCCTTGTTATTTCCCACAGAGCCCCCCTACTAATTTGTTTTTATATCTGTGGAATGGTCACTCCAGTTGTGCCTGGGTCGGACAGACCTGTACGGGTATCTGTCAGTTACGCTAGTGTTTCTGAACCGGGATAACCACCGTTGGGGTTCCTTTCGGTCATTCAGAGGACTGAGGATCCCAATCTCGAAGAAGTTCAGACAAATTTCAAATTGG